TCATTCATGGGAATGGAGATACAATTTTGCAAGAATACGGTCTTTCGATTTTTTTAATTTACATGTACTTGGCTAACTGCACATGTGCTGAGTTCAGGTGAGGTAGCACATGATCACGGTCTGTATGGACGTTCATTCCAATTACAGTTCAATCACTCTTGTTGATCTTGTCCAAAGGATAACATGCTGTAGCTATTCTGTTTACGATACTTTTCAAAGCTGTCAGAGTGAAATGACTCATGAATTTAATTTTGACACTGGTTAGCTTTTTGTAAAAACGAACTACACCCTGCATGTTTTTTTGTGATTTTGTGAGCGATCTTTGTGTTTGAAATGTTGGAGAATATAATAAAGGTTTGTATCGAGAATCGATGGTGGTTTGTTTTGTATACTGGTAAATCTCTGCTGTTAGTTGGTGCACATATGCCTTTTGTTGTTAACAAATATGTATGTATATTTTTATAGCATATCGATCACTGCATCAAACAAATCGCAAAAAATCTGTTGTGTAAAAAAAACATCAAAAAATATGTGCATGTACATTTTCATTTATTAATGCATATCATGTATATAATGAAATTTCAAGCACATGTTATTATATTGATGCCATATTGGTTTTTGTTTATCTCGATGATCATCGGTTATCTCAATGCTTTTTGGAAAACTCCTAGGCCGGTGACATAACCCATAACCGGGTTTGACTGTGTGTATGTGTGTATATATATATATATATACACACACACACACACACACACACACACACACACACACACACACACACACACATGGGTCTCACTGCCAAGCGAAGTGGGCAATAAAGTCACCTGAGAATGGTAAACTTCAGCTTCTTCTGTTAGAAAAGAGAAAATGACTTTGCCCTCATATTTTTGGACATAAAATGGCTGTAGATTATGACTTTTGAGATCCCCTCCCCACTCGCAGTAGCCAGTAAGTTCTGGCACTGTTGTAATCAAAGGTGAAATGCATCAATATATAAATAGTAATTTGTTTTCAAAAAATGTGATTGGTGAAATGTTTTCTAATGTATTTTTTGTTTTTATAAATGGAGATTTTAATGACCGTATTTGCGTATTTTCTTAATAAAATCAGTTTAAAACAGTAAATGAACTTGTAATGGTGGACATAGCTACATATACAATATACCACATCATTAAACTGTCTATATTTTTTAATAATTGGGCAAATAGATGCAGGAAAATATATAATATAATGAAAACAAAGTTTAAATATTATGTCATAGGAGATTTAGCCTAAATATTTAATAATGTAGGTCAAAAACACGTGACAATCTGCTGTGGAAGTCAAAACTATACTGCAAGGTCAAGGTTGTTTCCTGACCTACTGTAATTAATTTTGCGGATTTACATAAAAAAATATATAGCAGTGAAGTAAATACTATATAACTGATTTATATCGTTAATACCAGTAGGTAGACAAATAATTAAACCATAAATATGTAGTCCAATTAATGAATTTGTAATAAAAACATAAAGCAAATTGTTGTATTAAGAAAAACAATCTTTCTAAAAATAGACGCACTTGGTGTAATACGTGAACGTGTTCTTGGATTTTTCAGTTTTGGGCGAAAAAGGTGTAGTTATTTATTTACTTTAGTGCTTCTGTGAGTTGTCAATGAATAGTTACAGTACAGTAATGTTTTACTGGGAACAAGGAAATCAGGACGAAGAGTATGTTTTAAAGTCACTTGTGCATTTATTCCTATGAACATGAAGTAGGGGTTGTTTCAATGAATGCTAAAAATCTTTTTTGACTGCAATTTCACACAAAACTTGTACAAAATAAAATTAAATAATTAGGTGGTAGTTTATTAGGCATTTTCAACAACTTGCAATTACAAAACTCTCTTTTTACTGATTTAAGTTAAAATTAATTACAATGTATAGTTTAAACTGTGTCTTTTAAGTCATATGGCCAATTTACCTGTATCTAATTCCAAACACACATATACTACAAGTAAGAATAGAATGGGTATGAATATAATAATTCTTATACATGCACAAAATGGGTTGATAATAAACATATGACATATTTTTAAACTTGAAAATAAGGCACTGTTTAAAACTGTTAAAAGCATACTGAGAAATGGAGCACAAAACTAGGATAATGCAGCTATCTATCTATCTATATATATATATATATATATATATATATATATATATATATATATATATATATATATATATACATATATATTTATTTGCATTTCTTGCTGCTTTGGTCCAATGTCTTCCAGGTTAGCTTTCACTTCTCCCTGTTTAGCTCCCACTTCACCCTGTTCTGACCAAAAAGGAGAAATCACTTCTCCTTACAATTTAAGTCTAGCTTACCCCTGATATATATATATATATATATATATATATATATATATATATATATATATATATATATATATATATATATATATATATATATATATGTATATATATATATATATATATATATATATATATATATATATATATATATATATATATATATATATATATATATATATATATATGATGCCGTGAATAATAATTTTCATACCATCAAGCCAATCCTAGGATAATGGACTCCTTCCTACAGAGCCGACCATAGGGAGAGGGAGGAGGTTGTCAATGCTAGAATTCGAATCGACCATACTTTTTTAACCAACTCCTACATACTAAGAGGAGAAGACCAACCAGAATGCATTTCTTGCAATGAACCATTCACAGTTAAGCACTTTATGCTGGAGTGTTTCGACCTCCAATCTACACGTAATCAATATTACAATGTGCAAGACATGAAGGAGCTCTTTGATACAGTTAGTATTTCTTATGTTATAGACTTCCTTAAAGAAGTAAACGCATATCATAAGTTATAACATTTATGTTATCATCTTAAACATTTTTACATGCTATATATGTACAGTTGCTAGATTTTAATTACCTTTCATATGTTTTCGTTGTCACACATTATTTGCGATCCCCGTTGATCGGGAAACTTTATTTTTTTTATCACTGCTACCATTCTTATTGTTTTACCTTTAGCTATTTGGTTTCGTATCACTGGTCGATACAGACCCTTTTTACCATTTGTATAAAATAAAGGATACAACATTTTTTATGGCGCTAAATGGCCTCTTTATGCTGGTGCACCGTAAAAATTCAACCAACCAACCAACCAACATACATACATACATACATACATATATATATATATATATATATATATATATATATATATATATATATATATATATATATATATATATAATGAGTTCGCTTGGCCTGAATGGACCAAATAAAACAAGACTAAAGAAACTGCTATGGCATGTCATTAAAAATTATAATTTTTTTTGGATTTTTAATAAAGCTGCTAGCCACTCCACCCCAAATTACCAAACCCCACACATCCCCTAACTGGGGCCAGGGGTCAAAATATCTTGCTGCTATGAATGAACATATAAAGCATAGTTATAAAAATTTTGAAAATGTCACGATTGTAATTAAGGTTCTTGTGTATTCAACCTCCGACACCCTCCTTGGGGAATCCAGGGCTGAAGCCATGTGATTACACCTGTCTCACAGATGAGCAACATAATTGCAAAGCTTTGTGAAATTCCACCAAGCCGATGAAGTAATGTATAGACATACATTGTTTTAGAGGGAACATTATTTTAAAATGACATACCTCTTTTTTCAGTATCTCTCTTTCAGAATGAAAATCATCTGTGTAGGATGAAATAAACAGCTTGACAGTTGTCTTCTCCGTAGGTGACTTTAAACGGGATGGTCCACCAGTTGCCATGCTTATCTATACTCCATGACTTGTCTGTAAAACATAATAGGTCTTTTATTGTCATCATTTTAAGGTACAGAACACTTTGTTGGTATGCATTAATGTCACAAGCAACAGCCAAAAAGCAATATATTCCTGCTTTCCAATTTGCCCTCAGTGCCTTTTTTGCTTTTCCCTCTGCCCTTACTGGACCCATCACTATGCCTCTCTCCAATCAATTGTTATAGTTATTGTAGGGTTTAACGCCATTTTTCAGCACAAGATAGTCTATACATGGTGGCTAGTATTAACAGTGGAGGAAGAACCCTGGAAAATCCTGGGAAGAACCACCGACTCACAAGAAGCTACTGGCAGGCTTTCTTACTTACCTACGTTAGATGAGTCAGGACTCAACTCAAGCAGACAGAGGTGAGATGGCAGTGATTTCAGTTATGAATAAATAAAACAACTCTTTCAAATGGTTTTCTGTTTTTACCAATTATTTTTCAATTCAAATAATGTATGACACATGTATGAATAAGCTTTTGTCCGTTTTTCCTTCCAAACAGATGATGATCTACATCTAGCCTCTAGAAAGTCCTTGTGTATCAATGTCCCTTTGTTCCAGAAAGTGCACCTGAATTGACATAAGTTCATGGATCACTAGAAATGTCCCTCTTTCCCTCCCTGCTGGAAGAAATCCCAAACATTGCCACTGCTTCTACTTCCTACATGATCAAATTGGTTTCACATAAATGTTGATGTTAACCCTCCTCAAACATTTTAGAAATATGTTCTACTGGTATTTCTTCTGTTCATTTGATGGATTCAAGTGCATACATTTGATATAATCTAAGTAAATTTAAATTTTGAAAAAGTGAAAAGGTATGTGGCACAAATGAATTTTCTTCAACTAATTGTCCTGAACAAGTGAATAAGACAATAAACTTATTGACCCTGATAATACACAACCACATAACGAAATAAGATCAGTGTTCATGTGTGCATGCGTGCATGCTTGCATGTTGGACTTTTAATGTATCTGTAACAATTTTTCAGTCACATTGCTATTATACCTGCAGTGTGGCAGTTTATAGTGATATTTAGCACTGAGGCATTATGCCAGATATTTAGCATGATATCCCACCTAGTCGCATTATCCTGATACTAGTTGAGTGCCTAGCAAGACAGCTGTTAGTACCTTTTTTTCTTTGGTATGAGTCAACCAGGGTTTGAACCTATGACCTCCTGCATCTGAGGCAGATGCTCTAACCACCAGGCCACCAGTGTGGTCAAAAAAAATGTGTGTGTGATTTGGATATTTAAATAAGCTATAACAATTTTTCAGTTGTTGTTGTTCTGTGGCTTAATGCCACTTTTTAGCACACAATAGGCTATAAATAGCGGCCAGTATTAATGGTGGAGGAAGAAACCAGGAAATCCGCGCAAAGAACCTACCCATGAGAAGCTACTGGCAAGCTTTCTTACATATCCACATTCGCTGAATCTTAGACTTGAACCCATGCAGACAGAGGTGAGATGGCAGTGATCCATAATGGAGCGCGCTTTAGACTCTTGGCCACTCGGGGCCCCTCAACTTATCAGTCATATCGCTATGATGTCTGCAGTGTGGCAGTTTATAGTGATGTCTAGCACTGGGGCATCATGCCGAAGACACATGTCATGATGTCCCACTCAGTCACATTATCCTGACACGAGATCAACCAGTTCTAACCCTAACATCTTAATGCTGAGTTCCTTGCAAGTCAGCCGTTTGAACCCATAACCTCCCACATCCAACCACCAGGCCACTGGAGCCATCCATAAATTGTGCCATTGACAACTGTTCTCTGCAAACAGTCATGTCAGTACTGTCAGGCACTTAAGTATCATGCCACTGACATGTAGCATCATGTCCCACCCAGTTGTATTATCCTGATACCAAATCGACCAGTCCTAAGACTAACCTCTTAAAGCTGAGCTCCAAGTGAGACGGCTTAAGAACCATTTTTATACGTCTTTGGTATGATTCAGCCAGGGTTTAAACATGGGACCTCCCACATCCAAGGCAGACACTCTAACCACTAAGCCACTGGTGTGGTCAAACAATACTTAGAAATCTTTAAATAAATCAGCCCTAACAGAACAACAAATTAAAAGATAACAGTACTAATCTTTTCTCCAACCGTTAAGGTCTATTAAGAAAAGAATTCAGTTGATAAACACTGACTGAATATAAATGGACATAATATACTTTAGATAGACTTAAAAGATTTATACAATTGGTAAATATGCTAATTTAATATCTATAAATAAGATATCTAACAAAGTTTCTTATCAATCATGCTTTCAGTAATATATTCATAATAAAAATTGTTATGTATATGCTATATTCAAGTGTCTATAACTGTTATGTATATGCTAGATACCAGTGTCTATTTAATCTGTTCATCATAATTTTTGTGATTTTGTAACTACCTCACCAGTACAAGCACTGCCCTTATGCAGTTGAGCTGTTCTTTTTGCTTAAAACTGCTGACACTGTCTTACATGGTACAATCCAGTCTGAGTAGAGCTAGTCTCAGATGACTTAGAGTCAACAGCGTATCTATACCCTTGATTTCTAACATTCAGTAAGGTTGTGAAATAAACATCTTTACATGTCAACACTTAGTATAAGCATCACTGTTACTATGAGTTCTGAGATTCAATACATGCAAACCTGCCAACTCCTGGTCATGTGTAGAAGACCAAACACTCCTGAATAGGAGCCAAATTATCCTGATTAAAACAACATATCAAAGATAGTGTTTCTAGTAATTCCAGTTGACAGGAAGTAACAAGTACATTGTTGCATAGAAAAATCAAATTATACTGGGGGGGGGTTAGTACTTTCGAGTCATTCTAATTCAGTGGGAACAGGACAAACTTTGCATAAATAAATTGAAATATTAAGTAACAGGACACCCATCATATAGACCAACTGAAATATCTTGGTTTTTTTTCATATTTTCTGAGTCTTAACAGTGCATTGTTATATTCAATCTGAATGATCTGACAGCTATCACTTAGGGGTCATGTTCTGGTTTGAATTAGCAAGTGAAAATGCAGCTTTCAAAAACATGAAAGTGAATAAAATCATTTGACACACATTGATGTTCTTCAGCCACTTTGATCAGACTCATATATATCAAGACTTCATTTGACTGGCTGATAAAATTTGTAATTATGGTAATAACATAGGTCATGGTAACAGCATAAGTCATGGTAATAACAGATCATGGTAACAGCATTGGTCATGGTAACAGCATAAGTCATGGTAATAACATAGATCATGGTAACAGCGTTGGTCATGGTAACAGCATAAGTCATGGTCAAAGCATAAGTCATGATAGATCATGGTAACAGCGTTGGTCATGGTAACAGCATAAGTCATGGTCAAAGCATATGTCATGGTAATAGCATTGGTCACCAGAACATGATCCCTAAACAGCTGCTGTCAGATCTTCACACAGGACAGTGGAGATCTGATTTTAATCACACTGTTATTATATCATAATCTGCTTATGCCAATATCAGAACTGAGTACTATATGTCATAATACACTCAAATAGTCATGCTATTAGACTAGATACAACTGACCAATCTTTACAGGCAGAAACTAGAACTGCTGCAATCGACCAAGCTGCAACTTCAAAGAAAACTGATTACCTTTGAAGCACTGATCATTCTGTATAAATAAAAAAAAAATCAGTCTAAATCAATGTTCTACAATTATGTACTGTTGCCACCACAATAACAAATGGGCATTTGTTTGGTCTTCCAAAGCTGTCCTTTAGCAGCAACTTCAATAACATGCAATCTGACTACAAACTTCAATAAAAACAATGCACCTTTCATCAAAGAAGTTCAGCACCAAGCTTAAATTATAAAATTATAAAAAAATGGAATCTGATGGATTTTTGCTTATTTAAAGTAACTGGAAGATGCTTGTTGTGCCATAAAGATGTCTGTTTTGCAGTGAAACAATTTTATGCTTATGATCATTACCAATGGTAGCATAAAATGGAAATCTTTTGAAACAATATACATCTAGCCATCGCTTTTTAATTTATTTACATTTTGCATTTCCCTATTAATAGCCCCATTCCCTGGGAAGCCTCGGAAAGATGATAGCTGTCTCCAGATGACCAAAATCTTGGCCGATTTAAGAATATGTACATCTAGCATGTAAACAACTATAGTTATGTGTTACTGCTGGCAATATCATAGAGAATTGTTTAGTGACACATTTGTTGACAATGGAATATAGATCAAATGAGGACAACCATATTTTTCATATATGCGTTACTAGTTTTTGTTAATGAAAAGAAATTTTATAATATGATCTATACTTGAATTCATGGATATTTCATACTCATTTAAAATACTTAATGCATTATGAACCATGCTACACAAATTTAAGTTCTCAATATACAAATGTATTTTAGACTAGCTTTGTCTTTATTTAATATAAATTACATTATATGTATACCTGCTTTTATCACACATATCCACACACTGCTTCACAGACATTTTTTACTATGTGCATCATTCTCTAAAGCTAACTGATTTTGATAGTTATAACAGGGTTTGGTACATAACAAAGTTTCCAATAATGTGAGATAATCCCGCTTTACAAACTCTGTCTCCCACTTTTAAAAGACCAACAGTCTCATTTCATTACCATAAAAGTTGGCATGTCTGTGTATGTGTACCTTTCACAATTTGCACAGATATACCAAAATCACCTCAGATTCAGTTATTCCCTTGTCAGTGTCCACACAATGCTGATATAGCAACTGTGACCAGAAAATGAAGTGACTCAAATCAGCGCTGTTGTTTACAGAGTATTTTAAATTTAACTGAATACCCCGATTTGGGTATCATTTCCTTCCTGGTCATAGTTACTGTGTCAATATTGTGTGAAGACACAACTGAGTGATTCTAGTGGCATTGGTAAATTGCATTTGGAACTGAAATAAACTGTTTTGATGGTCATGTAAACATTTGCAATTTTTTATGTGAAAGCCATAAATTTTTAAAAGTAAGTTATTCAACCACCTGGAAGATTGACAATGCAAATGTTTCCAAATTTTAATTTTTAACACCTGTGGGTTTTCTTTTTATTATTACTTAATGCATCACTCGATTCTACATAAAATGAGTAATCCAGACTTAATATACACCTTAATATACTTTATTATGTAAATAATATCCAATACTACTCAGGAAATGTTAGCAAAATTTTAGATGATTATAAACACCAGTCAAGTTAATAGGCTGAAAATAACTGGTTAGTTTGGTATACTTGTATATATTCCGATAGATTCCTTCTGAAACCAAAGCGACAAAACATGCAATATGATTTTTACTCCTTTCGTCTCTACGTTTTGAGAAGAACAAACAATATGAATAAATTAATAGCAAAAAAGTATTAGTCACTAAAAACCCAATTGTATTTATTTTTCATGTCTAACAGCTTAATTAATACGAAATCCTTGACGTTGCCAATTCAGTTTGATAAACTAGTTACTGTATGTTGTGTGCATCAAAGATTAGTATTTCCAAGAAAACCTCTTAAATCATTATTGGTGCATCATATTCTTTCTTCATGAATACAAATAACCGTTTCGTCGATGCAAATTCATAACTAAGTCACTTCTATCAAGACGACCATATTGATCACCTTTCCTGTTTTTCAAAATTGAAGAGTGGGCTTAACTCTCTCTCTCTCTCTCTCTCTCTCTCTCTCTCTCTCTCTCTCTCTCTCTCTCTCTCTCTCTCTCTCTCTCTCTCTCTCTCTCTCTCAGAATGTAATCCAAATGCCCAGAAATTATTGAAATGCGCACTGTTGGCACATAATCTACCTACAGATGTCTGTTTCACAAAAAAAAAAAAAAAAATATATATATATATATATATATATATATATATATATATATATATATATATATATATATATATATATATATATATATATATATATGTGTGTGTGTGTGTGTGTGTGTGTGTGTGTGTGTGTGTGTGTGTGTTTCATATATTCTTTATAGTCACATTTCTACCAATTTTCTCTATCAGAAAGTAGTTTACGTGATACGATACTATAATAATCTGATAATGTTAGCCATGTCTTTTTCTAACCGCAAAAACGCTTGCAATTTATTAAAATATCAACAGCTAGTGCATAATTTTTTAAAAATATAATTCAAAGAAAGCTTCCTTTTTACTATAAGCCATACATGCATGTAGTACAAACACATCAGATGAAATCTTATGAATGACACAAAGTATACGTTAAAAATATATTTCTATGCACGTGAAAGTGCATCTGCTATTAAATCGTCATTTCATTGATGTGCCTGATGTCAATATCATATTCCTGCAACAACAAACTCTACCATAACTATCTGTAATTTTTGTTTTTCATCTTGCCGATGAAAGTAAGGGGGTTTGGATCACTAAATACAAAAATCGGTGAAGGAGTTGAACTAATGCAAACTTCAAAGTGTTGTCATGCCAGTGTCAGAGCCAAACATTCCTTCTTCATTGTTGAATAATTTCTCCGGTGCTTAATTTATTTCTAGAAGGAAAAAAAGTAGCATACTGGATGGTCAACACAATTTTGACTTTTCCGTCGGTGGAATTTGCCCAAAATCCATTAAGAAGGTCAAATTTGGTGACATACTTTGTATTTCCAATTAAAAGAATGCAGTCATCGATTCTGGGTAATGGAAATTAATGTTTTAGTCACACTGTTCACCTTTCAGTGCACATGCGGAAAGTATTATCTGGTTTCGGAACAAGTATATATGGTGAAATTATTCTCCAGCAAATACTGAATTTAGCATTTTTTCTCTCTCTCAAGCATTTCTGTTTAAAAGGATTTACCCTGTACGGGTTTTGTTTCACAGGTGTGGAATTTACAATTTCAACGTCATGGCTGATTTGGTTTGTTCTTGTAGGAACATCTGGAAATAACTCCTCATATTTAATAACTGTTTTAGTTCATTCCGTTCTTATTGTTGAAAATAATAAAGTTTCTGGTCCAGATTATTTATAAT